ATTTTGGCCAAACGTATTTTACAACAGGAAAAACTGAGCGCCCATAAAGCTACAACTTTGTAACCTGTTGAAAAAAACGTAATGTGATGCTGCCGTTTTAATGATGGACAAATTGCACATTTGCACACACATTCACTGGTCAAAAACCCGGCCATAACTGCATTTGAGTTTGACACAAAGCGACTGAGTGTTCCTCGTCAGCTAGGTAAAATATATTTCTAAGAAAATTCTTCTTTGATTTATGATGGCTATTTGCTGATACACTTAATTTATTAACATTTAATCATATTATATATGGTCACACTCACAGCATGGTTAATGTTTACGATGTTAATATGCATGTATTTGCTAGCTAGCTAATTTTTGAATGTAGTATTCTATACTCCCCGCTTATCATTAAGATGTGACCAGTAAAAAAAAGGGGGGGTGCCCCTTTTCAGTTTCAGCACATGCCCCTCAAAAGGTCTGTGCACGACCCTGCACATACTGGTAAAAAATGTATAGCCTGAATGCACTGTAAGTCGCTTTGCGTCTGCTTAAATGCATAAATTAATTATTTATTATTACTAACAGGTTAAGTAAAATATAATGAACATATAGGCTAAGGTAGTGCATATATTTAGTGAAATGCTCTCCTCTAGACTTAATTTCTCGGGTGAACTAATGAGCTGTGGACATGGAATGACTCTGAGCAATTGCATAGGACATGAGATGTTCATTCATGTTTATTTTATGCTAATTAGTAGTAAAGAGGAAGGGATGATCGCATTCACTCACACTCCTCGCTGCCGTTTAAACTAGGGCTGGGTAAAAAAATATTGATTTCTTGATTTTAATCAATTCTCATTTTTACGAAATTATATTGATTCTTAAATCCCAAGAATTGATGAATCTAGCCTGTTTTCAGTCAATCGCAATAAGCTTTGTGCTTTGTTACTTTTGATAGGAAACAAAGACTCCGATTTCAAATTCTGTCCATTTTATTACAGTATTCAAACAATAAATGCCGATTTGGCGCTGTTTAATGTGGAGTGACAGATCGCTGTAGCTCCTGAGTTCAAGAGGAGAGGAAGCACGAAGCGCATGTGATCTTATCGTCTCCTTCGCTTTAATACCAGTTTCAGCACAAAATAAACATGAATGAACATCAATCCAAAGGTATGTTAAAAGAAAGAGTACAGCTTACCGAAACACATATGTAGTCTCATGTAATCACTCAATCAGTGTTTCAACCTCGGAAAGACGTCAATATAACGGCTGGTAAACAATTTAAACAAAAAGTTTAACAAAAAAGTGCCAACTGACTCTCAAATAAGAGTCACATATATGTATATTTTACGGCATTTGTTAGGAGCTTTTTTTCTTGGAAATTTGGCATGTACTGTACCTGATATACAGTGGGTACGGAAAGTATTCAGACCCCCTTAAATTTTTCCCTCTTTGTTATATTGCAGCCATTTTCCCCTCATTAATGTACACACAGCACCCCATATTGACAGAAAAACACAGAATTGTTGACATTTTTGCAGATTTATTAAAAAAGAAAAACTTAAATATCACATGGTCCTAAGTATTCAGACCCTTTGCTGTGACACTCATATATTTAACTCAGGTGCTGTCCATTTCTTCTGATCATCCTTGAGATGGTTCTACACCTTCATTTGAGTCCAGCTGTGTTTGATTATACTGATTGGACTTGATTAGGAAACCCACACTGGCAAAAATTTCTGCTGCACTTAAGGTTCCTAAGAGCACAGTGGCCTCCATAATCCTTAAATGGAAGACGTTTGGGACGATCAGAACCCTTCCTAGAGCTGGCCGTCCTGCCAAACTGAGCTATCGGGGGAGAAGAGCCTTGGTGAGAGAGGTATGTCTCTAAAAATGGCTGTCCACCAACGTTTACCAACCAACCTGACAGAACTGGAGAGGATCTGCAAGGAGGAATGGCAGAGGATCCCCAAATCCAGGTGTGAAAAACTTGTTGCATCTTTCCCAAAAAGACTCATGGCTGTATTCGATCAAAAGGGTGCTTCAACTAAATACTGAGCAAAGGGTCTGAATACTTAGGACCATGTGATATTTCAGTTTTTCTTTTTTAATAAATCTGCAAAAATGTCAACAATTCTGTGTTTTTCTGTCAATATGGGGTGCTGTGTGTACATTAATGAGGAAAAAAAATTAACTTAAATGATTTTAGCAAATGGCTGCAATATAACAAAGAGTGAAAAATTTAAGGGGGTCTGAATACTTTCCGTACCCACTGTATATCCAGAATAATCTAATCGAATCTAGTGAGTCAGAATCGAATTGAATCATGAAATTTGTGTCAAAACCCAACCCTAGTTTATCTGTCACACCACATCATAGAGAGTCAAAACAGAATATATTGTTTGAATTTCCTGTTAAAATAGACAGAATTTGAAATATAAGACTTTGTTTCTTATTGAAAGTAACGAAACACAAAGCTTATATCAATTATTGAACTGGATGCGCGATATAATGTCTTGTGAATTTTTATTCACGCATCAACTGAAACAGCATAGCCTAAAAGATCGATCTTGGGATTGAAGAATTAATATTGTTTCATCAAAATGGAGATGTATAAAATGAGGAGTTTCAAATTAATTTCCATACATGAAGATGTTAAAACAATGTTGTATTTGTTCAGTACACATGCGTGAGCGACACAACATCTGTACTGAAAATATTCAGTATGAATGTGTGTGTACCATCACACCCCTTATATATATATATCAACCATCCATGTCCATTTAATGTCCTACATACACATATTACACTCCATTATCTTGTGTTCCTCTTGTTTCAAGATTTGAGAAGCTTGACATCACTCCTAAAAGTGCCCAGAAGTTGAAACCCGTGCTGGAGCGCTGGCTGGCAGAGGCTGAGCTCTGGAATCAGAAAGGTCAGCAGAACTTGATGGAGTTTGTGGGCGGAGAGCCCTCCAAGAAGCGCAAGAGGAGAACCAGCTTCACACCGCAGGCCATCGAGGTCCTCAACACTTACTTTGAGAAAAACTCCCTTCCCACTGGCCAAGAGATTACAGAGATCGCCAAGGAGCTGAACTACGACCGAGAGGTTGTTCGGGTCTGGTTTTGTAACCGTCGACAGACTCTGAAAAACACTAGCAAGATCAACTTGTTTCAGGTCCGGTAGAGCTATGGTACGTCTCTTAGAGTGCAACAGAAAAACTTTTTGGACATTGATGTATTGGTGCTAGTTGCAAAATGACTGACTCGCTGTTGTGATGAAGCCAGCGGCACTCAAATTGTGTACGGTCCTAAATAGTACCAAACAATCCAACTATTATCTTTCTGTTGGATTTTTGTTTTCCGTTATGCTGCATGCAGAGTGACTTTTTGCCATGCCACCACAATTTTCAATGCTAAAATGGCTTCTGAACTATTTAAAATATGGAAGAAGCTAACTAATCCTCTAGTTGCTGTTTTTATAGATGAAAAGAAGCACTTCATTAACACATAAAAAGGAAAACGTCTAAAATATTCTCCCTCATCTAGTGTTTTTTTTTTTTTGCACAACTAAAGTTGACCGTTAAAAATTGCTTTTTGCTGTAGCAATAACAGCTATGGCTTTTGACTACATATAGTACATTTAAAAGGTTTTTTAATAATTTTTTTAGTTCAGTTTCCATGATTGAAGTGGTTCCCCCGTCTTTGTGCTTAAATACTGTAGATGTGTTTTGGTCGATGGACAATCATAGTACTCTGAATCAGAAAGCATGCCCTGCTTTTATGTGGCTAAATCCAATTATTCCATTTCGGTTGTCATCGTAATTTCATATTCAGAATTGTATGATTTCAACTGTTATGTCTGTCTGTTGATTCAAATAGGAAATGGTAACTGTATCAGAGATTACAATGACTGATGTAGAATATGTCCTATGGATTTTACTGTTACTGTTTTTGCCATAATCAGTCTAGTAAAGCAGATCTTAATATCAGGAGATGCTATTGAAGAGAGACTTACATCTATATCTATATGGGGCACTTAAGAAACATTTGCTGGACAGCTGAACGTTTGTTTTAATGTTGATTGATGAGCCGTCAAACAAGTGTTAAAGGATATTACAAATATAAAGGCAGTTAATCATTTATGAATTTGGATTGTGCTCTCATTTGTATTCTGTCACAGCAATATTCACAGGTCATATGAACATTTCCCCATTTAGTAAAACAGCCCAGACAGAAGTGTGTTGTAACATGTTTCAAATGTTTGTTCTAAGCATAAAGCTATATTGTTCTTATGGACCTTCAGTATTTATCTAATGGATTATCTTGATTGGTACAATACCATACATTTACATTTTAATGTTGTGAAGAAGGAACGACGATATTAGACATTGTGTTTTAACTAATGGTAAACATAGACTAAACATGAAAAAGCAGCATCTGTTCAACAGTTTAATCTACACAGAGCTTATTGATTTTAAAATGGGGCATAAATGCATTTACAGATTATAAACAATTGTATGGTACTCCATTAACTATATTTATTTTGTATCAATTGTAATGTTTGGTATGAACTTGTTATTTGAATAAATTAACACTAAACACACTTGACTTGAAAATCTTGGTAAGTACCATTTGACATCTTTCCGGTCATGATTATATTCATTATACTCAGACAACACAGAAAGTTAACAAATTAATTCTCAGAACACATAAGTAACCTGTAGACATCAAAGTATGTGGATGAAGTTCATTTTAAATGACTGTTCTGATAACTTGAAGGTAATATGTCCCAAGGAATGTTTTGTAGGCCTTAGGTCTTTAGTTTTACTATTGCGAAAATATAGCAGGGCTTTTACCACCATAATACTACTATCAAAAAAATCAATGTGGGTTTTTTCAATATCAAATCATGCTAAATGATTTTTCCTAACAAATATCATAGAAAGCATGATGGTAATGAGGAGCAATCCGTGGTTTTTCATGGTTTCTGTGGTCTTAAAATAGCACTGATAAACCTATTGTTACTATGCAAGTAATAAAATTGCCATTGCCATGGTAACTATATTTTTCACCAAATTGCCATCAATGCATTTATAGCCTTCCTTGAAATCACAATACATATGATATCTTTAAACAGTGTAAAAAGCTTTCAAAATTCTTGAGTTGTTTTATTTTTTAATTTATCTATTTGAAAAGAGCAGCGACTAATGTCAAGTGACAGTTTTATCGTTGCAACAGCTGTGGTATTTTAGCAGAATTTATAGTGACGCCAAACATTTGTGAATTTGATTAGTTTAGTGATTTTTTGTGAATGTATAAAGTCCATCCGAAATTCACACAGGGGTCCTAGCAGAGCAAATACAGGTTATAGTAATGACTATAAAGTGTCTTCATAATTAATCTTTATTTTGAATCTGCATCTATTGATTTATAATTAATAAAAAAATCTAAGGGTTACAACTACAAATACCATTACCAACATCACAAACCATCAACTATTAACTATTATAAATAAATAAATAATCATAATAATAATGTGGTTTCCTGAATATGTAGTGTTTTGGGACATGTTCTGTTAGGATTTAGCTACCAATAAAAGGCAACAAATTACCAGTAGAGAGACCCACAGGGTCCATTACAGTTTCCAATTAAACCAATACAATTCCCATTATAACCAGTAAAACCATTACAAATTTAGTTATATTGTTTATTTATTGATAATAATATTTTTGTGTTATATTATTTGTTATGAAATTGTTAATTATTTTCTTAAAAGTTCTTAAAAGTTAAGTTTAAAAAGTTTTATGGCTCATGCGTAGAAATCATTTTTAGCGCCGCTGCTCCATCCATAGACTGTATCTCTGGCTGTTTGTTGTCATGGGGGAAAAAGGCAATTCACCTCCATACCGATTGGGGCCGCTAGTACACTCGCTCACTGTTCCAGCCGTTAGTGAGGAAGGCTACTGCGGATATTACGGCAATTTCTACAGAAGAGATAAACAAACATGTAATATTATACGTAAGACATTTTTTTAATCAAAATCCATCCTATCTTCAACCAATAAATTTTCTTCGAATTTTTCGCAGCGTCGTCACTTTTTACGGCGACCGGTGAAAGAAACTAATCTTCTTTCGAGCAAAACGAAGTTTTCTTGCCAAAAGAAGGACGATGGGTGGAAAAATGGCGTGAAACGATGAGCTTTACCGCATTCTTTATCTGACTGCTGTCAGAGGTAATTTACACTCTTATTATGCAATTTATGATAAAACAAACACTTTATTTTAAACGGTATCTGTTAAGTTTTTGCCCCCATTTGACTTATGTAATGTAATACATGTGTTTGTAATGTGTAGCTCTGTATTTTGAGGATTTGTGATGCAATTTTCTGTCTTTAACATCATATTTAATCTAGTAATAATACTACTTAAGGTCTTTCTTAAATTGGAAAACTATAAACGTATTTTCCAGTTCACGATTAATATTGTATGTTATTGTATGTAACTAATCCATGTTTCCCCCTCTTTATTTAGACAGGTGTCTGTGATCATCCCTAAACCCAGAAGGGAGACTGTCAGGACTGTGATTCATTTGCTCCTAAGTTCACTTGAGTTAGACGTCTAAAGTCATGGCTTGGGCTCTGAAACTACCTCTGGCCGATGAGGTGATTGAGTCTGGTCTGGTCCAGGACTTTGATGCCAGTCTGTCAGGGATCGGGCAAGAGCTTGGAGCTGGTGCTTACAGCATGAGGTCAGTTTGTGTACTAACTTATTCTCTTTTTTGTTTAGGGGTGTTTAGCTCATTTCAGATCATTGGTGTGTTCGAAATTGTTAATTATTTTCTTAAAAGTTCTTAAAAGTTAAGTTTAAAAAGTTTTATGGCTCATGCGTAGAAATCATTTTTAGCGCCGCTGCTCCATCCATAGACTGTATCTCTGGCTGTTTGTTGTCATGGGGGGAAAAGGCAATTCACCTCCATACCGATTGGGGCCGCTAGTACACTCGCTCACTGTTCCAGCCGTTAGTGAGGAAGGCTACTGCGGATATTACGGCAATTTCTACAGAAGAGATAAACAAACATGTAATATTATACGTAAGACATTTTTTTTATCAAAATCCATCCTATCTTCAACCAATAAATTTTCTTCGAATTTTTCGCAGCGTCGTCACTTTTTACGGCGACCGGTGAAAGAAACTAATCTTCTTTCGAGCAAAACGAAGTTTTCTTGCCAAAAGAAGGACGATGGGTGGAAAAATGGCGTGAAACGATGAGCTTTACCGCATTCTTTATCTGACTGCTGTCAGAGGTAATTTACACTCTTATTATGCAATTTATGATAAAACAAACACTTTATTTTAAACGGTATCTGTTAAGTTTTTGCCCCCATTTGACTTATGTAATGTAATACATGTGTTTGTAATGTGTAGCTCTGTATTTTGAGGATTTGTGATGCAATTTTCTGTCTTTAACATCATATTTAATCTAGTAATAATACTACTTAAGGTCTTTCTTAAATTGGAAAACTATAAACGTATTTTCCAGTTCACGATTAATATTGTATGTTATTGTATGTAACTAATCCATGTTTCCCCCTCTTTATTTAGACAGGTGTCTGTGATCATCCCTAAACCCAGAAGGGAGACTGTCAGGACTGTGATTCATTTGCTCCTAAGTTCACTTGAGTTAGACGTCTAAAGTCATGGCTTGGGCTCTGAAACTACCTCTGGCCGATGAGGTGATTGAGTCTGGTCTGGTCCAGGACTTTGATGCCAGTCTGTCAGGGATCGGGCAAGAGCTTGGAGCTGGTGCTTACAGCATGAGGTCAGTTTGTGTACTAACTTATTCTCTTTTTTGTTTAGGGGTGTTTAGCTCATTTCAGATCATTGGTGTGTTCTGAGACCTGTGGTGCTCGATAAATGTCAACTTTGGTTGAATTGTAGCTCTTTAGAGTACTGTATGTTCAGGTCGATTTGCGTTTTTGCCTTATTGAGGAGTGTTGCTTAATCTGTTTTGCATGCTTACTATGTCAAAGCCAACTTCTTCTGCTGGGCTGTTTAGAATGTCATGATGAATGTGTTTTGGCACATTTTGTGTCGTGACGTTCCAGAGAGCCACACTCTGTCTTGTATTCCCTTACATAACTGTTGTGCAGAAAATTAAGCATTTAGAAAAGTATAGGTCTGTTTGTGCCGATGTCATTGTGTGTAGGCTTCGATTAAGTGTTTTATTCCATATTTAGGGTTTCAAGTGGTTTTTAAACATGTTTTAATTTACTGACAAATTGAAGTTCTGTACGACATGACTGCAGTGCAGTCTGCATGCATGTTTTGTTCTGCTAGTTGATAAAACAAAAATCTTTGATTTTAAATGGATGAAGTAAAATGCATTGCCGTGTTGATAGGCAGATAGTCACTCTGTCTAGCCTCATCAGTTGGTCTCCAGGGAACAAAATAGTTGTGTGTTATAAACCACATGTTCCAGTCCTGCTTTGCCATCTGTGATGATTTGTTCCCAGATGTTTGAGTAGCATTAGAAATGTCCCTGTATGGGAAACCAAAAATTGTAAAATCTATAATTTTTCACTTTTTTCTTTCTCTTGTTGTTTTGCAGTGACGTGCTAGCTCTCCCCATCTTTAAACAGGAGGAGTCTAATTTACCTCCGGAGAGTGACGATAAGATTCTTCCCTTCCAGTATGTACTGTGTGCTGCCACCTCTCCTGCTGTCAAACTACATGATGAGACGCTCACCTACCTCAATCAAGGTCTGTTCAGCAACACTGGCTGAAGAACATCTGAAATTTCTTTAGCTTTATATTAAATGTCCATATAAATCTATTACACTGAAAAAAATGGTATAGAAAAAAATTTTCAGGCTGGAATTGCTTGAAAATTTCTCAAACAATTACAAAGAAATAGCAAGTTACACATTGAACTACACATGAAACTTTAAAAGTATATAAACTGAAATAGTATTTTCTTGTAAAACGTGCTCCATTTAATCTTTGTTTTATTTATAACTTTGAAAAATCTTTCTTTTTTTTTTACAGTGTAATACACAAACATACATTATTCATGAAGTTTAAACGGTTTGTGCTTCTGAAGACTTAGAAAATACACCACTGTATAAAAGTTTAAGGTCAGTGCGTTAATTAATTAATTTGTTTATTACAAATAAATTATTTTGTTCAGCAAGGATGCATATTAAATTGATCAAAACTGACAGTGAAGACATCTATACTGTTCCAAAAGACTTCTATTTCAAGTAAATTCATCAAATAATCCTGAAAAATGTATTCAAGGTTTCCACAAAAATTTTAAGCAGCAACATTTCAACACTGATAATAGGAAATATTTCTTGAACAGCAAGTCAGCATATTAGAAGAATTTCTAAAGTATCTTGTGACACTGAAGACTCGAGTAATGATGCAAACATTTTTTGTAATGACAGGAATAAATTGCACTTTCAAATATATTAAAATTGAAAACACTTATTTTAAATTGCAATCATATTTTACAATATTACTGTATTTACCATATTTCTGTTAAAAAAATCGCTGCCTTGGTTAGCATAAGAGACATTTTTCAAATAAAAATCTTGCTGACCCCAAACTTTTAAACAGTTGTGTGTATATATATATATATATATATATATATATATATATATATATCTTAACAGCGTCTGTCCACATTCACTTTCAATGTATGGAAATAAAACTGCTTTTAAAATGTTTTTACTGGTATTGCTAAATTTCCCCCCCATCTGCTGCAGGACAGTCTTATGAGATTCGAATGCTGGACAATCGGAAAATGGGGGAACTTCCTGAGATCAATGGGAAAATGGTGAAGGTGAGGATTTTCTGGCTGTTCTTTCTCGTCCCCCATAATTCATGCTTCCCATATACAGGATTATGCTTGCATCAAGGCTTTTGAGAATCCTTTAAGTGTTCTGCTTGAGCTTGCTGAATCATATGTGCTTCTTGTGACTATCTGTGGTTTATCTCTACCACTGTTTTTCTTGTGGTTACTCCCTGCAGAGCATCATCCGCGTTGTGTTTCATGATCGCCGCCTTCAGTACACTGAACACCAGCAGCTGGAGGGCTGGCGCTGGAACAGGCCGGGAGACAGAATCCTTGATTTAGGTAAATATTGTTACCCACTGCTAACACAAAGTGTAAAATCAGTAGTATAATAAGATGACTGTGAATAATTGGCACTTAAAGATGCGTTTGCTACCAATTTGTCAGTGTTGTGGAAATGCAGGAATTAGACATTAATAACATGCTTGCACTGAAATCCTCAGATATCCCGATGTCGGTAGGGGTGGTTGATCCCAGGGCAAACCCTACACAGCTCAACACTGTGGAGTTCCTCTGGGACCCCTCGAAAAGGACCTCTGTTTTTATTCAGGTATCATAGACTGCTTTTGCTGACCTCAAGAACAACTTTCCCATACACTGTGAGTGGAGCCTTAGAAATCCCAACATGAGGTTCCATGTTTGTGTTTGTGTGTTTTTAATTTATCCACTGATACACACTCAATGTACTTTGTCAATGACATTAGGAAGGATTTTTGCTGTGTTAAATTGATAGTTCATCCAAAAAATAATATTTTGTCATAATTTACTCACCCTCATGTTATTACAAACCTGTATGACTTTATTTCTTTTTGTGGAGTACCAAAGAATATATTTTGAGGAATATTTCAATTGTTTTTGTCCAAAACAACACTGGATTCCATCGACACACACAGTTTTCTATTTATTTTTAAATATCATTCACTTATTATTGTCTTCTTTGTTTAGGTCCATTGTATAAGCACAGAGTTCACCATGCGTAAGCATGGAGGAGAGAAGGGAGTGCCGTTCCGTATTCAAATCGACACTTTCAAGGAGAATGAGGCCGGGGAGTACACTGAGCATCTGCACTCCGCCAGCTGCCAAATCAAAGTTTTTAAGGTGGGCTGAGGCCTCTGATAAACATTTACAATGTGACTATGCAAGTTTCAATGCAAGTACTGTTCATGAGTGCAGCATAATTTTTGTGTAATCTTGCAACTGGAACAAGATCTTCTTAGAAAATTAGATGCTAGTACAAGGTTTGTTTTGTGTTCAGCCTAAAGGTGCAGACAGAAAGCAGAAAACAGACAGAGAAAAAATGGAGAAACGAGCACCGCAGGAAAAGGAAAAATACCAGCCTTCATATGAAACCACCATTCTCACTGAGGTGTGTATCTGCTTCCTTGGAAAGCTTGAGTTCATCATGGATAGTCAAAAAAATAATAATAGATTTTGATTTCGCTTATTATAGTTTATTATATATTATAGTTTTTAATTTCATATTTGTATAATATTTTTGTAATGACAGGAATAAATTGCACTTTCAAATATATTAAAATTGAAAACACTTATTTTAAATTGCAATCATATTTTACAATATTACTGTATTTACCATATTTCTGTTAAAAAAATCGCTGCCTTGGTTAGCATAAGAGACATTTTTCAAATAAAAATCTTGCTGACCCCAAACTTTTAAACAGTTGTGTATGAACACACATTATATATATATATATATATATATCTTAACAGCGTCTGTCCACATTCACTTTCAATGTATGGAAATAAAACTGCTTTTAAAATGTTTTTACTGGTATTGCTAAATTTCCCCCCCATCTGCTGCAGGACAGTCTTATGAGATTCGAATGCTGGACAATCGGAAAATGGGGGAACTTCCTGAGATCAATGGGAAAATGGTGAAGGTGAGGATTTTCTGGCTGTTCTTTCTCGTCCCCCATAATTCATGCTTCCCATATACAGGATTATGCTTGCATCAAGGCTTTTGAGAATCCTTTAAGTGTTCTGCTTGAGCTTGCTGAATCATATGTGCTTCTTGTGACTATCTGTGGTTTATCTCTACCACTGTTTTTCTTGTGGTTACTCCCTGCAGAGCATCATCCGCGTTGTGTTTCATGATCGCCGCCTTCAGTACACTGAACACCAGCAGCTGGAGGGCTGGCGCTGGAACAGGCCGGGAGACAGAATCCTTGATTTAGGTAAATATTGTTACCCACTGCTAACACAAAGTGTAAAATCAGTAGTATAATAAGATGACTGTGAATAATTGGCACTTAAAGATGCGTTTGCTACCAATTTGTCAGTGTTGTGGAAATGCAGGAATTAGACATTAATAACATGCTTGCACTGAAATCCTCAGATATCCCGATGTCGGTAGGGGTGGTTGATCCCAGGGCAAACCCTACACAGCTCAACACTGTGGAGTTCCTCTGGGACCCCTCGAAAAGGACCTCTGTTTTTATTCAGGTATCATAGACTGCTTTTGCTGACCTCAAGAACAACTTTCCCATACACTGTGAGTGGAGCCTTAGAAATCCCAACATGAGGTTCCATGTTTGTGTTTGTGTGTTTTTAATTTATCCACTGATACACACTCAATGTACTTTGTCAATGACATTAGGAAGGATTTTTGCTGTGTTAAATTGATAGTTCATCCAAAAAATAATATTTTGTCATAATTTACTCACCCTCATGTTATTACAAACCTGTATGACTTTATTTCTTTTTGTGGAGTACCAAAGAATATATTTTGAGGAATATTTCAATTGTTTTTGTCCAAAACAACACTGGATTCCATCGACACACACAGTTTTCTATTTATTTTTAAATATCATTCACTTATTATTGTCTTCTTTGTTTAGGTCCATTGTATAAGCACAGAGTTCACCATGCGTAAGCATGGAGGAGAGAAGGGAGTGCCGTTCCGTATTCAAATCGACACTTTCAAGGAGAATGAGGCCGGGGAGTACACTGAGCATCTGCACTCCGCCAGCTGCCAAATCAAAGTTTTTAAGGTGGGCTGAGGCCTCTGATAAACATTTACAATGTGACTATGCAAGTTTCAATGCAAGTACTGTTCATGAGTGCAGCATAATTTTTGTGTAATCTTGCAACTGGAACAAGATCTTCTTAGAAAATTAGATGCTAGTACAAGGTTTGTTTTGTGTTCAGCCTAAAGGTGCAGACAGAAAGCAGAAAACAGACAGAGAAAAAATGGAGAAACGAGCACCGCAGGAAAAGGAAAAATACCAGCCTTCATATGAAACCACCATTCTCACTGAGGTGTGTATCTGCTTCCTTGGAAAGCTTGAGTTCATCATGGATAGTCAAAAAAATAATAATAGATTTTGATTTCGCTTATTATAGTTTATTATATATTATAGTTTTTAATTTCATATTTGTATAATATTTAAAACACTTTTACTTTGTTTTAATATTTGTATTTTGTAAAATTGCTTTTTAATATGTGATAATATTTTGTGTGTTGTGTATTTATTCAGTTCTCTCCATTGCCTGGAAAGCATTGGTTTTATATCAATATTTACGTGAAATATTTAATTAGTCTCTGTTATTAGTTAGAGATTTTAATTTATTATTTATATTTTTATGTGTTTTATTTACATTTATATTAGTATATTTATAATATTATAAATTTTTTTCCCATTTGATTTTGATTGTGATGATATGTGGTGTTTTGTATTTATCCAGTGCTCTCCGTGGCCTGAGATTACATACGTCAACAATTCCCCATCACCAGGTTTCAACAGCACCCACAACAGCTTTCCTGTGAATGAAGGGTAGGAAACATTCATCAACATTGTCTGAGCTTTATAATGCTAAAGCTAAATAGAATTTTGAATAGGAAAATAGCAATTGATTATATTTCGATTAAAAACTATGCAATCATTTGTCTTCTTTGGAATCACATTTACTTTAATTTAATGGCTTATGGTTTTGCCTTGCAGAAATGGTTCACCCAATCACCAGCCGGAGCCTGTGGCACAGTTAGCAGATGTGAGTCTGTCTGTGTTTATCTTCTCTCATATTTGAGATTCACTGCTCTCAGTAACATTAAACGTTTCTAGTGACATTCTAGGATTAGCATCACTCTGTCTATATACACTGAACAAAATTATAAACGCAGAACACTTTTGTTTTTGCCCCCATTTTTCATGAGCTGAACTCAAAGATCTAAGACTTTTTCTATGTACACAAAAGGCCTATTGTTCACAAATCTGGCTAAATCTGTGTTAGTGAGCCCTTCCCCTTTGCCGAGATAATCCATCCACCTCACAGGTGTGGCATATCAAGATGCTGATTAGACAGCATGATTATTACACAGGTGTGCCTTAGGCTGGCCACAATAAAAGGCCACTGTAAAATGTGCAGTTTTATCACACAGCACAATGCCACAGATGTCGCAAGTTTTGAGGAGTCTCAGGGAAGCTCATCTGCATGCTCGTTTTCCTCATCGGGGTCTCGACCTGACTGCAGTTCGTCGTCGTAACTGACTTGAGTGGGCAAATGCTTACATAGAAAAAGTCTTAGATCTTTGAGTTCAGCTCATGAAAAATGGGGGCAAAAACAAAAGTGTTGCGTTTATAATTTTGTTCAGTGTGTATATATATATATATATATATATATACACACACACACACACACACATGAGATATGAAAGGCAAACTACTACAAACTGAGACATGGTCTTGGTTAGATTCATTCCAGTGTTCTCTTGTGTGTTACAACATTTATGCATTCAGCATTTTCTCATTTGAACAATGTTTTATGTTTGTACAAGCAAATGTATCTGTGTTCCATTTGCATTTGTGTGGGATTTAGTTCATAACTGATCTTACTATCCACTTAACTAGTTAAGTAGTTGAGCTGTATTGGAAATGGAATGGTCAATAGCTACCCTTCAATATAGTGTGTGTGTGTGAAGGCATGCTTCCATGCACATTTTTAATGTCAGGAGAACTACAATCATACATCAAAGACCCTTTGTTTCCATTCATATCGTTACAGCTGCTATTATTAAATTATCTGTAAAAGCTTTTTTGTTGCTTTTGCATGTTCATTAGCACATTTCAGAGTATATGTTGCCCTTTGTAGCTTTTTTTTGTTAGAACTAATAGTTTATAATATAGCATAGGGATGGGGTTCGGCAGTATGACCTAAATATTAGCATAAATATTACCCAAAAATGTTTATTTTATATTTGTTTAATAGAATTCATTTCATTTAAATGTAATTATTATATATATACATACATAAATGTATAAGTGTAATTTATAATGCAAAGTACTTAATGTAATTTTATTATTATTTTTTGAGTTTTCTGCCATTTTTAAAGCGTGCCACAGAAATACTATGACATAACATGATCTACAGTTTGACACATTTCTACTGTTATATTATCATACTGCCCAGCCCTTACATCATTTAAAAAAAATAACATATTCACTACGATTCAAAAGTTTGGGCTAAGTTAGTTTTTTTTTTTGTTAGTTTTTTTTTTTCCTGAAGGAGATCAGTACATTTATTCAGCAAAGATGCCTTAAATTAATCAAAAGTGACTGGAACGACATTTGTAATGTTACAAAGGATTTTTATTTCAAACAAATGCTTTTCTATTCTTTAAAGAATGCTAAAAAATATGTATGTCAGTGACACTGAAGACGAATAATTGCTGCTGAAAATTCAGCTTTGCCATCACAGTATTAAATTACATTTTTAATTATAATAATATAGAAAACCGCTATTATAAATAGGAATATTGTGAAATATAATTACTGCTTGTACTGTATTTTAAACGAATAAATGAAGCCTTGGTGAGACTTAAAAAAAAAAAAGAAGCTTACTGACCCCACACTTTTGAACCGTAGTGTGTAGATACAGGAACCAAATTAAATGTGAACAGCCTTAAATCAACTTTTACAGGCTGACCTACAGTACAATAATCATTCAGTTTGGCACCTTTTCCTGTAACAAATCTATTCTGATTTCCTCATGCTTTTATGATTGTATGTTGATAGTCTGATTTTAAAATGACTCCAAACATTGTATTATTTTTGCATTAGTTTATATGCTGATGTAATGTGAGGTTTTAGCCCATTGTTTTTTTTGTTTTTTTTTGTAACGTATAAGCCCCGTTAGTCACCACATGCTTCCTCATAACAAGATAATAACACTCGAGACAAATCTGAGATTTTAAAACTGAGAGACGTTCTGCCTTACAGTTGTCGGCCCACCTACTTACAAGAGACAGTGAAAGCGATCAGGTACATGAATTTATTTGCTAATTTGAATATGTTGAAATGTTTATTTGCCAAAGGTAACACTTGGTTGGTGTGCAAAGGTTTTATTAAATCTGTTTATGAACTCAGTTCAACTCAGGCCAGACAGTTTAAGGGGGAGTGTCTGACTTCAGTACAGGGACTGTACAATGGAAAAACAGACTAATTATTATCAGTTTATGGTCAGTCTGCTAAGGCCTATTTTGTCCTTTCTCTCTGCCCCCGAACAAACAGAATCTGTTGCCAACGGCAACGCCACAGGAAGCACAGCAGTGGCTCCATAGAAACCGTTTTTCACCATTCTGCCGTCTCTTCTCAAACTTCTCGGGTAAAGGGACGACTGGGCTTACATAAGTGTGCATCACATTCCATACAGGCTTCTGCTCACTCAGCAACCATACAGTGCCCCACCATTCCTTACATCACTCTCATTCAGATGACACATGCTCTCAAATCTCATTCTCTTATCATAATATTTTTTAGGAAAAATGTAATGTACCTCTTGATTTCATATTACCTTTCAGAATAGTATGAAAAAATTCTAGTGTGAGTGTGTTAACAGTCCTTTGATGTCACTCAGGGGCCGATCTGCTAAAACTGACCCGAGAGGATGTCATCCAGATCTGTGGGCCTGCTGATGGTATTCGGCTATTTAATGCACTCAAAGGACGGTAAGAGTCCGTTGCAGTGATAGCGAAGTTAACTAAAATGAAAAACTATAAACATTTTTGTTACTTTAAATAGTCAAGTCATCATTATTTATATAGTGCTTTTCACAATGCAGATTGTGTCAAAGCAGGTTTACTTTACTTTATTAAACGGGGAAATAGTGTGTCGAAATAGTGTGCTGTTCTCCTCTGGCCAGACAAAACCAGCAGTTTAACTGTAGGCTGCGACAAAGTCAGATAAACATAAACATTAACTGAAATAAAAAAATCTATAGACATGTTTAAAAAAAACTAAAACTAAAAAGAAGACAAAACACACCAAAATTACTAAGACTTTTAACTAAAATTAATTTCAAAATATAAAAACTAGTTTAAAAAAAAGTCTCTCAATGATACTAGAATAACACTGAATTATGTATGTAGCTATGTATGTATGTATGTATGTATGTAACACAGACGTCTCTTATGCTTATTAAGGCTGCATTTATTAGATCAAAAATGAAGTAAAAATGGTAATATTGTAAAAATATTATTACAATTTAAAAGAACCGCTTTCTGTTGTAATACATTTTAAAATGTAATTTATTTATGTGATATTAAAGCTGAAATTTCAGCAGCCATTGCAGCGAGTTGTACTGCTTTACAGTGGGGAAAAAAAGTATTTAGTCAGCCACCAATTGTGCAAGTTCTCCCACTTAAAAAGATGAGAGAGGCCTGTAATTTTCATCATAGGTATACCTCAACTATGAGAGACAAAATGAGAAAAAAAAAATCCAGAAAATCACATTGTAGGATTTTTAAAGAATTTATTTGCAAATTATGGTCGAAAATAAGTATTTGGTCAATAACAAAATTTCATCTCAATACTTTGTTATATACACTTTGTTGGCAATGACAGAGGTCAAACATTTTCTGTAAGTCTTCACAAGGTTTTCACACACAGTTGCTGGTATTTTGGCCCATTCCTCAAGAGCAGTAATGTTTTGGGGCTGGGAAAGCGTGATTCGTCACATTTGAGCTTTTATAAATATCCTTCTGTTCAGTTTCCATAATTTGCTTTTTTTCTTGGCTGTTGATGTTTACATATACTGTGTATGTGTATGTTCCTGTATAGGGTGGTCCGTCCAAGGCTCACCATCTATGTGTGCCAGGAGTCCCAACAGGCTCGTGAACAGCACCAGAAACATGAGAACGGAGACGGGTCTAGCAACACTTTCTTCGGTGAGTTTGACATCAAGTATATTAAGATCAAACGTGATTACATTTGTGCTCTAAGTGTTTGTAGGAATGGAATGTTAGGCTGTGATATTATGAGGTAATCATTTTTTTCCTTACCTGCATGGCCTGGTTATGTCTGCAAAATAGAAAAGCTTTTTAGAGGCAGTAATGGTTTTTTTCTTTAGAATAATGTGCACTTATGAATCATGCATAATAATACTTAGGACATGTGGTAAATGGGGTCAAATAATCAGGGAAAATAAATATCAAGTCTATTGATTTCATGTTGTCAGGTGTTTTTTTTACATTTTCCAGATTTGTGACCCTTGTATCCTGTTATTATTTTAATGTCTTTCCCGTTTTTCTGCAGTGGTTTGTTGGTTAAGGTCTCATGTTTCTTTACCCCCATCTTAGTGTATCATGCTATCTATCTGGAGGAGTTAACAGCTGTGGAACTGACAGAAAAGTTGGCCCAGCTCTTCAGCATCTCTCCACGGCAGATCAGTCAGATCTTCAAGCAGGGACCCACTGGTATCCATGTGTTAGTCAGTGATGAGGTGAGGGCTTCCACAGGCTTTATTTTTCTTCAATGCTTAGGCCAGAGCTTCCCAAATGGGGTTTGTGAAGCCCTAGGGATTTGTAAGGGAACTGCAGGAGGTTTGTGGGTTGATGAGAAGCTAATGATTGAATGGAATGTAAAATAAAAAATGAGGCTATACAAGTAATGAAAATAAAATAGAAATAACAATATAGCTTAGCGCAATTATCAAATCAAAGGTTACGGTGGGGACCAACAACTGTTGAAATTCATTCAGGTTTGGAACAACTTGAGGGTGAGTAAATGGTAACAGAATTTACATTTTTTTTGGTGATCCATCTCTTAAGATATAAATATTGGTAGCTTGTAGTCTAAAACAATTTTATAATTATCAAATATAATTTTTATATTTTACAGTTCAACTGTAATTTACAACAGTAATATATTGCTTTCTTTAATATTAGAGTTCAAACTAATAATAATAATAAGAAGAAATTTCCTGAAAGAGGCCTTAGTTGGTTTCAGCAGTAACAGTAAGAGATATTTTCATATTAGATGAAATCATATAACTGTTCAAATTGCCATACATGACAAAATAATTGCAATGTAGTTTTTTTGGCCAAGTTGTGCAGCCCTATTTATGAATAAGTTTTAAATAAAAACAACCAAAATAAAGCATTTACTGAAAAAAAGTTTATATTAAAATCTTTAATCTGTTTGCCTGCATGTCATTAGACCATTGACCAAGAGAGAACTGTGAATATGCAAGTGTGTTGTTAAATTTTTTAAATATTTACTTAATCTTAGGGGTTTCTTCAAGTAAATGTTTTACGTATAAGCAGTTCGGCTGACAAAAAAGTTTAGGAACCCCTGGTATAGGCACTTAACTTGCATTTGTTTAGATTTCCTTGCACTAACCTGTGCTCACTATAAAAACATTCCCTTCACTTTACAAGCGTGGCAAAGATCACTTTACTGTTGAAATTTGCTTACTTGAACTTTGAAATTCATCCTCTAACACAGTGTTTCCCAACCTTTTTTTAGTCGAAGTACCCTTTGGAAATTTTAGCTAAATTGTGGCACCCTACAAAATTAATTTTGTCACAATATTTGAATTTCTAACTTCGATATGATAATTTGAAAAGTATAGATATTCGGTACAACAGGGAAGAACTGCAGAATATAATGTCATACAGATATTTTTTATATTATTAAAAATAATTGTCCATCAATGGTGGCAATCAGGCTAATTTCTAATGAAGAGATCAATTTATATTACATATTTTAATGTAGGCTTTTATACATATGTAAACATTATTTAATTACCATTATAACTAGCTATCTCACAAATGTTTGCTCACTCAGTGTTTTTTTAATTTTACAGTGGGGTAATTTTGGTGCAGTAGCACGAGAGAGCTTGATTTCGAACTTTGAATTGAATAAAAAATGACGCTTTGTTTGGTCTGAAGATGCATTGCAAGAGATGTAAGCTACTTGCCGAAGGCCATTTCTGCAGAGCTTGCAGAATTTGCTGCTGTGCTTGCAGTGCATCGCTCGTCATCAATCCATCATCGATAGCAGTTAATTTTCACAAATAAGAGCAGATTGCTTTCACACCAAACTGGAGTCCAAATGGACTCAGTGCACCCGAGTTTGCAAAACCAAATGCATTGAGTTTGGTGCCAAAAGCTCAAGTGTGGAAAATAAGAGACCGCACTTGATTTTATCCATCAGTAATAGAACTTAGTCAGGCTAGACAGCATATTGAATTTAACGTGGATGAAAACAAGGCTTTGAGGGATATATTTGCTGTCTTTACAATGGCAGGCACTCTATAAAGGTCCCAGATCACACAGTTTTTGCCAACTCCCAGTTTTCAAAACTGTTTTATAGTTTTTGTCTACTAAAAGTTACCAGATATCATACATACCAGAATTGAGCATGATGTTTGGATAATAGGGTTGGAAAATAAGGCGGCTTGGTGAGTTAAAAATGAAAACCTTTTCAAAGTGAGATAATGTTGTTGTAACATGCGCAATAAAAGCCGTTTCACACTGAGCGCGATGCAAAAAAAACGGCGAACGGTGCTTTCATACCGAGCACGAAACAATTGATTGCCTTCTGCTAATTCATGCCTGCATGCTAGGTGGCGCTGACCAACAATGCATTTTTCTTCAGATATGTATCCCATATATGAATTTAACATTGTCCGCTGCTCAACAGCATTAAATTAATATAATTAAAGATTGGTTCTACATCATAAACACAAACTATCTATAATGCTTACAAGAATACATCTTAAAATGTATTTGTTGGTACAATTAGCATCAAGCTACACATTCGAAAATGCACTTCGCACAGCATTCATTTTTGAGTTCAAAATCCACGTCAAAATCCAATCAACAGCCGATGGACAGAAACAAGTCCCCAACCTACGTTTTTCTCTATCAACAATCAAATGTACGTCTTGAAACAGAAGAAAAGATCTGATGCTACTTCCGTTTTATCATGACTTTAAGTAGTATCTCTTATTCTTTATTTATCTGACTTGATCTTTACGTTCTCATTCGAACAGATGATTCTGAACTTTCAAGATGAGATGTGTTTTGTCCTGGACACAATGAAAGGTATGAGCAAGCCAGTTTTTTCGAAGTATTGACAAGTTGAACCCACATGTCTTTGTTTCTAGGTAACTTCTGTTTTATAACTTGCACTCTTTCGATTGAATTTGCAGCTGAAACAAACGATGGCTATCACATCATTTTGAAGTGAAAACAAAGGATGAGGGGGAGTGAACAGGCCCCTTATGTTTTTCTTAAGATTCAACCCACAGCCCCTTGCCTGCACACTTCCTGGACCTTACCGAAGATCGCTTGGCTTGGAATAATAATGGAGACGATCATGGGAAAGGAAAAAAGGCACCTGACCCATTTTGAAACCTTTGCTGTTTTATCCATGGAGCGTGTGCTGCCTTTTACCTCCACTTTCCATTTACACTCGCAAAACAAATCGCAGAATTTCTATTTTACTAACTTTGTTAGCATCAATTTGATTTGCCAGAAAAAAAAGTTTATAATGTGCTACGCACGGCCTTACCGGCTCAAACAGAGAATTGTCTGGCATTAAATACAGTATTATTTGGTGTTGTCTGTCTGGATGTCACCCTCTGAGTATTTTAGCTGCATGTGCTAGAGTCCCATGTGAAGTGCAGTCCACATGCCTCAATGAATACATGCTTTATAAACAACATAAGTAGAAGGTTATGTCACAGAGATCCATGGTAGGCCCAGAGATTTCCAGGACACTTAAGAAATTGCCTCTGTTTATGATGAACGTTATCGTCAGTTCTCTCACCTGCGAGAAAAAAGTAGGCAGTCCCGTTTTTATATTGTCCCCCTCACTTTTAGCAGATGATGCAATCACAGATGTTGTGAGGGACAGAATGAATTAAAATAGCTCTATACTGCCACTATTTTCAAGTTCAGTTTTTTGGCAGGTTCACGGCGAGCAGCGTGACTAACGCATTGCTGCCCAAATCATTTATGTTTTGTATAAGTTAATTGTTGATTTGTTAAGCCTTGTGGACGTTGGGCTTGATATTAGGTTCTGTAGCTTTGATTTTTCAGGTGTTGCTGCAAATGCACGTTATTTACAGGTGGAAGATGAACGGCAGCAGTGGGCATTATATATGTACGTCTTTTTATTTTTATTTTTTAACATTGTGCATAAAACCTCTCCCTCATTTCGTTTTTTCATCGTTGCATATATTAGAATAGTTTTTGCAAATGTCAGACTTGCCAGAGCACTATTTTATGGTATAAAAGAGATATCATGTTTTACTTTCTTTTTGTTTCCTTTTGGATATGACCACTGATGTGCTAATCTTTCAGGTCTGGTAAAGGGGAGAAACCTTGCACTGCGTGAGAAATGGTAGCCGTGGTTAGTGCGAGACGCAAGCTAGACCAAGATGGTAAAGACGTGAGGTATTGTCTGTTGTGACCCTTTACCGTGTCATTGCAATGATTAAAGTGACTTACCTTTAAATGAGCTGTTTTGTTTTATATGTTGTATTAACTCTTTTCCTCATACAGCCCTATGTCTACATCCATTTTAAGAACTTTGTAGGCATTTATGAGGTGAAAATGCTTCGCAAGGAATTCCAATTTCACAAAAATGTGTCTGGGTAACATTTCACCTCAATCAATAGAAATATATTTTGCATAAAGGAAATGAAAAGCATTTTTAATGAGACAAAATAATAATGAATAACAGTGTGACCCCAGCGTGTTCTTAAATCTTGTGAAATTTACCCACCTATATTTTTTATATTCATAATTTAATTTTCAATTTCATTGTCAGTCTCTCGCTAATAGTGTTTGACTAGAGTTTAAAATCAACCCCACATAGTTTCCATGGAAACCGAGCTGTCAAAAAAAACAAGGGAGGACTACAAATAGGCCCAGCTAGCCTAGCGTAAATGCCACAGATGGGACGTTTGTTTGAGGAACAGTTGGCCTTTATTGCTTTACACGCCTTGATCCCAAATATAACCGCTCTGAGAAACAACATCCGTTTTCCTGTCGAGGAAGACAACGCAGCTCCCAATGCTAACAATAGGCTCTTTAGAACTACGTTTCCCGGCAGCCTCTACGCCGGCACTTCGATGACGTCACAATAAGTATATATGTGTCCCGTGCGGCATTCCTTCCTCTATTGTTACATTGTAACAAACCGGGGCAGAAGAGAGGCCCATAGGGTCCTCGGGCCGACAGATACTACACATCATTTTTGGTTTTTTTCTTTCCTTCGGGGTGGAAATATAACGTTGCGCTTTGTCTAAACATAGCGCAGAACACAACCACCTATCCGGAGGGAAAAAAACCCCTGAAGGCTCGGCTCTATTTGTTCTTTTTGAATGCAGGCATTTTAAAGGATCACCTAAAGATTTGATCTGCACTTATGGGATGCATCTGCGCCGGGATTTGTAATTTTCAATGAATAAGGTCCTTGTCTGCCTTCGTCTGCCCCGTTTAAATTTTTTCAGAGCTTGGCTGCAACGTTGAATGCTCGCATAGCCTTCTTGATACACAAAACCCCCATTTGTAGTCTATGTCAAGACTAATATCCATTGTTTACGATGCTTAAATGTTCGGACATCACTATATCTTCGTGAATAAACTGCTATTTCCTTATTGGTCTGGCCATTTCGATGGGCTGAAGTCGCTTTTGTCTGTCATCTTGTAACCTTGTGGAAGTCTAAAGCTGAAATAGGTTTTTTTTCTTTCCTTCGGGGTGGAAATATAACGTTGCGCTTTGTCTAAACATAGCGCAGAACACAACCACCTATCCGGAGGGAAAAAAAACCCTGAAGGCTCGGCTCTATTTGTTCTTTTTGAATGCAGGCATTTTAAAGGATCACCTAAAGATTTGATCTGCACTTATGGGATGCATCTGCGCCGGGATTTGTAATTTTCAATGAATAAGGTCCTTGTCTGCCTTCGTCTGCCCCGTTTAAATTTTTTCAGAGCTTGGCTGCAACGTTGAATGCTCGCATAGCCTTCTTGATACACAAAACCCCCATTTGTAGTCTATGTCAAGACTAATATCCATTGTTTACGATGCTTAAATGGTCGGACATCACTATATCTTCGTGAATAAACTGCTATTTCCTTATTGGTCTGGCCATTTCGATGGGCTGAAGTCGCTTTTGTCTGTCATCTTGTAACCTTGTGGAAGTCTAAAGCTGAAATAGGTTCAAAATCCCCAAAGAAAAGAACCATCCAAATAAAGGAAGCACGAATCGAGCGACAGCTTCGCCGGTTTAAAGGCTCTCTATTTCTGCCCAAGGTAAGCCTATGAGAAAGGTTTTTTGTTTCACTTCTGCCCGTCTTTCCCATACAGCCCAGCCTATGAGGAAAAATGGGTTGATCATTGGACCGGTCGCAACACAGCATGCCATTTTCTGCTCTGTCATAAGACCGTCTGTCTGTGTTTTCCAGTAAAGAATATAAAATCATAGGACAGACCATATGTGATGTGTCATCCCAATCATATTGGGTCACATTGTGACAAGCCTTTTTAACATTTAGGCATATCGCTTGAAACTAACTAGTGTTTAATTGTGTTTCATTACACACTCGTTCTCTGCTACTAGCCATGAATCCAGTACTGGATTGGCACGCTTCACTGAACACACAGTAATTGGCAGACGTACTGCTTTATTTGCTTGCAGCTTCTTGTACATCACCACATCATTTCTGTGCATTTTACTACATCACCACGGTAGCATTAATTATAAAAGGAACACATGAAAGCAAGGTCGGTTTCACAGCAAGCAAAAAATGGACTCATTTTTTAGCATTTCTTGTTTCTATGGATACGGTTCATTCAAGAGCAGCACACTGTGTGTCAGACACTGATGCGTAAAGCAGTGTATACTCAATCGGCATCTCTCTCATTTCATCATCTTGTTGTTTTTCGCAGCTGTTTTTTAATGTTTCAAGGTCGTAACGCATTCTTTGCCGGAGATAGGTGATCGGCATGTATGTGGCTTGAATTTGACGCTACCCGGCCTGAATATTGAATGAATGATTATAAAAAATGAATCAATAAGACATTCATATACTCAAGCAGAGTCAGGCTAATGCTACTGAATTTCCTTAGCATTCATAAAACTAATCCAGTTTTTATGGATTTCACAAATCTATGGGATGCTCTTTGATTGATTGGTTCTGTTTTGCGACATTTGCGTGTGTTCAGATGAGCAGGAAAATAATTCTATCCTACACAATTACTTGGGAACAAAGGTTATTCGTCCAATTCAATGCATTTGTACGCATTATTATTTTAAATAAACAAAATCACTGGTAAATAAAACACACCTTAGTATCGATATTTTTAGTTTCGAAAGTATCGATACTCGCATCAGTATCGATATATCGATACTTAGGATCGATACGCCCATCCCTACCACCAAACTGTTCTCCTTCAACCCAGCAAAAAGCCACTGACTGTTTAAAAATAGTGTTTAATCATGAAGAAAATCAGGCATGGAGCCGCTCTAAGCAGTTGTATTACACAGCTCCCTTGGGCTAAGGAGGTGGTCTGATCAAACATCCCGACTCGGCCTTGTGTGACCTCTCTGGTTTGACTAAACTAGTCTCGTCATGGGCTTGCAAAGGCTTGTTGTTTGTAAGGTTTTAATGGGGGGGAAAGAGACCCAAAATGTGGATGCAGTTTTTCCATGGCTATTGCTTTAAACCAGTTACCATGGTGATATTTGCAGGCTTCATGATTTTTAAGCAGGACTTTCATGCTGGATGAAGAAAGCAAATGTCAAGGATTAGTTAGCAAAATAGGTGATATTGCATAATCTTCCAGATGTGGCCTTTTTTTGGTCGCATTTTTATGTTATATTTGGTTACTCTGACCTTCATAATGAGGTATTTTAAGGACTGCAGCTGTTGTTCATTGTCAGTAGATTTTGGAACAAGCTTTATGTGGAATGACGAAAGTAAAAAAAATTCTATCCATACAGTATTTTTGATTGTGTTATATAACTTGGATGAGAAAGTGTATTCAGAATCATTTAAGTAAAAATGCTGAAAAAATGTACACTCTTTAGTCATGATTGTTCATGTTTAAATTTTGCCAGCAATAGTCTGTCAGTCTGTTGGACAAAGCTTGTACCTATCTGTAATGCCTCCAGACGCAGTGTTTCCATGGAGACAGTGTCATCTCGTGGCCTGAAGCGCAGATTCGAGGAGGTGGACAGTGGCTCGCCATGTTCCACACCCAAAGATTCGGATGATGACATCTCTGGCAGTGACAGCGCTGATAGCTGTGACAGTCTCAATGCTCCCTCCAGCTCTCTCACACGTAAGAACACACCATAAGCTAGTTTTATTATTTCGTTATTATAACAACCACTATTCAAACTATTTCTCTGCAAACATGTCCGTTTTGTTTTGTTCCTTCCTAGCCCCTGAGCTAATTCCACCTATAACATTTGCACTATTGCAGCAGTTGCAAATCAGAACATTCCAGTGTTAAGTGCGACAGCTGTTGTTTTACACATAGGTACCCTTTCAGAAATATACTATGAAGGCAGTCTGTGGACCATTATAAACTCTTTAGTAAGTTGTGCAACCAAGTTGGACATTTTCATTTGTTTGTTATAGCCACAGCACCCTTATCCATAGAGGTTTCTGTTCCAACATGGCTTTTTAAACAATCAGATTTTAGGAATAGGTTTCAGGTTAGACATAGTCTTATAGCTATATAAAACTACATTCTTATCAATTATTTCCCATAGATGTTAATGATTTAGGTTATGGATGGGGGTCAGGGTATGGTTTAGTTTACCTTTTATAGAAATGTTGTTCAAGGACCAACAAAGGGTATTGTTTCAGGACCATGTCCTACTTGGGCATTGTGGCTAATGCAGCAAGCCTTGAGGTAAAAAACCTCTTAAACACCAATTTGGGATAAAGTGAGACTTAGTTTGAACCACAGTATTGTCATTTAAGGAGGTGTAGGTTGAGTACTAAAGCAATAGATCAAAACATTATTGTTTATGGTGTCTCTTTATCTTGTTTCTGTAGCCCCCTCCATTCTCAGAAGACACAAAGCATCTTTAGGTCGTAAGCAGGTACGCTTTGACGCAGTGACAGTCTATTACTTCTCCAGAAGGCAGGGCTTCACCAGTGTGCCCAGTCAGGGTGGCAGCTCCCTAGGCATGGCACGCCATCACTGTGCTATACGACATTACACCCTTGGCGAGTTTGCACGAGAACAAGAGAGCAGCCACAAGCATGTGCTGCGTCAACATCTACGGCAAGAAAAGCTCAATGCTCGCAAGTTGAAGGTCAGTTGTGTTGTTGGTCATTGTTCTGTTGTAGCTTCTGCTCTTCCTACAGGATTCTGCTTTTGCAGTAGGGTAGCCATTTTGTTTTGATTTTAAGACCTCTTTTACCTGACTTTTTCCAGCTGACACGGAATGGAACTGTGGATTGTCCCGAAGCAGAGTTGCTTACCCTAGACGACATATCCGATGAGGATCTGGACGTTGAGAGTGTAGAAGTGGACGATTGCTTCTTCTTGCAGCCTCTTCCGACCAAGAGACGTCGGGCACTACTGAGGGCTTCAGGTATTGCCCGCATAGATGCCAGAGAAAAGGCTGAGCTGCGTGCCATACGTTTGTCCCGGGAGGAGTGTGGTTGTGACTGCCGCTTCTACTGCGACCCTCGGCACTGCGGCTGCAGCCAAGCTGGAATTAAGTGCCAGGTAGGACACATGGTATTCTTAAAAGTCAGACTTAAGTTGAGTCCAGTTGGCCCAGAGGTGTCCCATCCTGCTCCTGAAGGGCCACCTTCCTGCAGAGTTTAGCTCCAGCAGACCTGCCTGGAAGTTTCTAGTAATCCTGAGGACCCCTGAGTTGCTGATTCAGGTGTGTTTAATTGGGACTGGAGCTAAACTATGCTGGAAGGTGGTCCTCCAGAAGCAGGATCAGACACCCATGATTTGGCCTATTAGCCTATTCAAATAAAATACATGCTCTTTCTCTTTTACCTTGTTCCAAAGGTGGATCGGATGTCCTTCCCATGTGGCTGCACCCGTGACGGTTGTGGTAATACAGCTGGCCGCATTGAGTTCAACCCTCTTCGTGTGCGTACCCACTATCTTCACACTGTCATGAAACTTGACCTGGAAAAGAGAAGCCTGTTGGGTGTAAGGTCTGGAGAGGATTGTGGGGAAGAGACAGAATTAGTCTCTTCTCCATCTCTGTCTCTTTCTCCCTTGGACTCAGAGGTGGAAAGCCAAAGCATTCAGGAGTTGCAAGAGGAGCAGTGCGACAGCCTGGAGCGTGAGAACGAAACAGCTGTGCTTCACCTACAAAGTGCAGAGGAACGGGAAAGGAGACTGGAACAAGAGGAGCAGCAGGTCGAGGAGGCGCAGACCACTGACCCAACCCTTTGCCTCCTGCAGAGTGCCCTCACCAGCCAAGCTGGGATGGAGGGCATGGAAGGTGTTGAGGGAGTCCTTCTAGAAGGGCCTTTTCCTGAAGGTACCACCCTGCTGTGTATTACAGAGAACCATGCGGATGAACAGACCGAGCAGAGGCTGCTCAAAGACCCTGCTTCTGTCCTCTATTATCAGGTAGGTCATGTAGAGACAGCAGCCTTTGAGACACTTCCTGCGCAAGTAGAGGAGGTGGTGAGTGAAGGAGGGGATCCAGATACGGAGAGCGATCGGCAAAAACGAGAAACCTGCGGGCAGGATTCGGCCAAGAGCTTGTCTGTCGAAGTACCTCCACCTCTCAAGGATGGGGACGAAGAACATCTTTGTCCAGAACAGGCCTCAAATGAAGGGGAATGCCTCGAGACATGCCTGGCACTGGATGAAAAGGCAGTACAACTTCCTCCAGAAGTGTAGAGCCCATCACCTCTGCAGAAGTTTTGCACAAGTTAGTCATTAAATGCAAAGAGAGCCTACTCCACACAGTGCGGTATGTTACAAGACTGCATAATGTTATTAAATGTTAAAGAAACAAGTTACCTTCATGGGTTTGTATCCAATTTAGCTGGAGATAAGCATGTACTGTGTTTGAAGTAGGTTGTACGTGGTAAAATAAGTTAATAATAAAAAAAAAATAGAATAATTTATTTAAAAAAATGAAAAAAGAAACTCAAGAAAAGCAGAGATCCTGATCAGTCAACAAGTGTTTATTTGGTATCAGTTTATTACTTGATACTAGTGGGAAAAAGTGGCCTTTATGTCGAGGAGCAAGCATTTTCAGGATTATCCAGCGCCTTTATATGGCCTTTGTACAGTTTCCGATACTGTACCCCAACAACTAATTGGCACTGTGAGGAGGGTATATGCTAATGCTATGTTCATGTCTTGGTGGAATTACCACAATTATGAGATGACAACTCTTAGCTATTCATATACTCAGTTTCTATGACAGCTTATTGCAAAAAAAAAAAGAGAAGCTTTTATAAAATTAAGTAGTTCCAACCTTGGAATTACAAAAGTTTCCAAAGGCCTTGAATGGTTTCTAATACTCAGAATCCTGTAATTATGGTAATTCTTTCAGGGTGTGAATTCAACATTAGTAATATGCATATGGCTAATGCTAACGCTAAGAGAAGGGGTTGCTAATTTCAGAAGAGGGTGTTGTTTGTAGCATCCTTCCTGTGACCCAACAATCCTGGAAATACTTGGTTTTCATGTACTGTACAAGTGTTTTGCTAAGAGCTAGCATGAAGATGAGTGAAAAAGCTGCTTGTTCTTTGTATGCATGTTGAAAACTCGATTCGTTTGAACTTGCTGAGAGGGGATCAGGAGGATGAATGAATGTGCAAGCCATTTGCACAGCAGAGCAGTTCTTTACTGTAGTCTTGACCTGACACCGTTTGAAGCTGTAGCCTACCGTCCCAGTTCGTGGACGTTTATTAATTTACCACCCCTTTGTATTGTTAGGGCGAGGACAATGTTTATGAGTATTGTCATCTACAATCATTTAGTTGTTGTTGTTGTTTTTTTGGTGTGTTTTAATTTTTCAGGAGTGAATGAGATCATACACATTTATTGCACATCAAGCCTTTAAAGATTACAGAAGACATTTTATGGGTGAATCTCATGAAAACATGTCCAGGTCTCATTTCAAAAGGGAAAAAAAATGCATAAAAAAATAGCATTTTACATAATTTAAGTAAAATTTTAGGATCATTACCATTTTTTACAACAATTTTACCACCATCAAAGGCGTGTTCTTAACATTTTGTGAAATTGACCTGTATAAGTTCAACCTTTAAATCCAGTATTTAAAATCCAAGGTGATCTTATACATCATGTAGGCCTTTATGTACTGTATGACAAGGCAAGGAAGACTTGAGGAGATTATATATTGTAAGTTTGACTTACACATTGGCCTTTTCAGTTTATCTCACTAGGCCAGTTTTAACCAGTCCTGATATTTAAGCAACATTACAAGTCAACAGTCCACCTAATTTTTAACGTACAAACCTTCATTTAAACCCTGTGAAGACCATCTTTCTTGCCTCTGTATCCTTACTGTTCTTCCCTGTTGCATTTTTATAGTCTATCCCTCTCGATTTAGAATATGAATAATGTTGAAGAAAATTTTACTTGGATGCTTTGTTGAAGCTGTTTTATTTGACTTCTGTTTTACGTTAAAGACAAAGTAATAATTTGAATGGTTACATGAAAAAAAATGGTGTCTTCAAATAGTTAAATGAGTTCTGTGATGTTGCTAAATTATTTAAACGTAAGGAACCCAAGAAATTTGTCATTTTGCAGTATGTGTGTGTATGTGTGTGTTTGCACGTGTGCCAGAAAGATTCATGCTGATTTGTCAGATGAGCCAATGTTTGTGACTGCAGTATGGGGTCATTATATTTCAAAAGGTGCTCTTATTTTAGTTTTTACATATTCATATTAACACTATATGTAGAGTCTATGTAGAGAGAGAGAGAAAAAAGAAATGTTAAAAATCCACAGTGGTTGTAAATGCAAATGTTGCTGTTATCTCTCTGCTTCAAGTTTACTCACCCTTACAACACCCTTTAGTCTTGAGTAAAGGAGACGCTTCATTATGTGATTACATTAGCCTAAATGCAGCGTGTGAGGCTACTCATGAATTTGTTAGCATGGTTGTGCCCTCATATGACTTGGCATTGTAAAGCTCCAAGCATTAAGTTTGATTCAGACCTAAATCTGCAATAATTAAGTGTTTTGCAAATGACCAATCAAACAAGAAGGATTTAGTTGCGTTTTATACTATTACTGTGTTTAAAAAATGTTTTCTTACTTTACTTTTTGCCTCATTGTATGTTAGCATGTCTCTTCGTCTCAGTTTACGGAATGATCTTGATGTATTGGCTACGTTTTTTGTCTTTTTTTTTTTTTTTTTTGTGATGAACACATGGAAAAATATGCCACCTCCACACATTCCTGCACTCAAACTAGTTTTGTCTGTAGCAGTGTCTGAGCTAGAAACTGACATATCCTTAAAAATGGTGGTCTAAGGGCCTGACCAAAACATGGAAGAGTCAGTCTTGTTTGTTGTTCATCATTTTGATGTATGAACATCCACCAGTCCAGTGGTCTAAAAACTATTGGCTTTAAAAGGAGGCCTGAATGTCGCACATGCTAATGTACCTGTAGCTGAAACGCTAAGTATCTTTTAGTCAGATATACTTTTGTTTTCCATGTCACCTCCTTTTTAAGTACTCAGATTTGAGACCACTACAATAACTGAAAACCAATTTACATTATGATTGTATGCGTTTGTTTGTTTGTGTGTGTGTGTGTTAGAGGCTTTATTAATAAGGGTGAATGGAGTTGAATTCTACGCTGTAAGAGTGACTTATGCTAACTGTTGCCTACAGAGGAGACAAAACATACAAAGTTTTATATGAAAATGTGAGTGAAATAAAATCTAAAATGAATAAAACAACTGTGTCCATCTTAATGTGAGCTTGTTGAGTTGCATGAAATTAACGTTATATATTAACAGTATTCATGAGCCTGTTGAAAAAAACAGCATATGCTGGTTAGGTATGTTTTGATGCTGGTTTATGCTGGTCCTTTGCTAGTTTATGCTGGTCCTTTGCTGGTCTATGCTGGTCATGTGCTGGTTTATGCTGGTCCTTTGCTAGTTTATGCTGGTCCTTTGCTGGTCTATGCTGGTCATGTGCTGGTTTATGCTGGTCCTTTGCTGGTTTATGATGGTCATTTGCTGGTTTATGCTGGTCCTTTTGCTGGTTTTTGCTGGTCATGTGCTGGCAAAGGACCAGCATAAACCAGCACATGACCAGCATAGACCAGCAAAGGACCAGCATAAACTAGCAAAGGACCAGCATAAACCAGCAAAGGACCAGAATAAACCAGCAAAGGACCAGCTTAAACCAGCATCCCAGCGTCAAAACATACCTAACCAGCATATGCTGTTTTTTTCAACAGGGGAGGGAATCAAAATTACCTTGCAGCACAGGAACAGTCCGTTTTCAATTCAAACTCAACCGACAGTGATAATCACAGAAAATAACTTTAAAAAAACTTAAACTTTAAAATACACATTGTCCAGTTTAGCTTTTTAAGAAGACCACAATAGTGGAACTTGACTCGTTTTGAGAGCAAACAGTTTGAGGGAACGAGTCACGTGATAAATTAAACTTTTCATAAAGCGTTCCGTTCCACTAGAGGGCGAACCTCTCCCATGAATGGAGCAGATCTAAGCAAATCCTGGCAAATGTTTTGTTAACCGGCATACATCCAGGGAAAACCTGCCGTTTCCCTCTCTTCATCAGCCATAAACCTTATGCTGAATCAGGGGATGAAAGTGGTCTTGTTCATTGTTTGCCCTTGTTCGTTGCTATTGCACAAAAATAATCAATGGAAGATCTGGGAAACATATTTGTAGATGAACTGCAGATCTATCTATCTATCTAATGTAAAAAATGAGGCCTACCAAGCCATCCCAAGATTCTCAACACGTCATTGTTTGCAGTCATCTTCTGTAAAACCAGCAGAAACCAGCCCATCTTTCAGCTCAGCTTTCTCACTTTATCACATTAATGTTCGCACAAGACTGTTTTTGGTTCGAGTATATGAGTAATGATGAAACCATACAGGGCTTTCAATAAACACATGAACGTCTCTATGTTCCACACAGTTATTCAGAATGAAAAAGGAAGGGATGGCCTGAGGAAAGTTGCTGACATCCTGGTGAGGAATTGCTTCTAGGGAAAGACCAGGCTTATATCAACGTTCAGTATGCTTTGTTGTGCATTTTTAATTTTTAGCAAAGGGTGGAGGGGGCGTTAAACCAGTGTCCGTTAATCATGCAAATTGAAGTTAAGTCTGTAGTGTATCTGTTTTGGCGACTGCTAATAAAATTGCGACCATCTTTTCAACATCACTTCATGCCTTGCCTGGAGAACAATGAAATGTTCCTGTATCCCCTGAATGGGAGGAAACAGCTTGGTGGGTACAGTGACCAAATGTTGTCTCAGGGGTGTCTGCATTCTCTTCCTGTATGCTTTAGCAGTGGAAAACATTGCCACACACAGCCTACAGTATTGCTGAAATGTTGTGTTATCCCCAGTCACTGCTATTTGCTTTTCACTTATGATTTTTTGATTCACTTATGAGTTTTTGCAAAACATCTGCATTTCTGAAACACTGACTTAGTTTCATTCTTAAGGAATACAATGACAGATTTTTAAATTATACATATTTATGGGAGTTATTGTGCTTTTTAATGCTTATTTCTATAAATTGTAGTTATAAAAATCAACAATACTGCCAGCACATATCACTTATTTCATATTTTTGCTGCATGTATGACACTAAAATGTCAGCACATACCAGGATCTGAGCAATAATCGAGAAACGGTAAGGGAGATTTGTCAGTCATCCATCACTTCCTTGCTTGGCTTCACCATTGTGTCGTGCTTCCAAAAGCCGGAAGAGCCGAAGGAATGCAGACAGAGTAAGAACCAATGACTGTGCAATACAATGCAAAAGGGAAGGAAATACCAAAGTGTTAACGTGTATTTGCTGAATAACTAAACAGAATGATGTGAATAAGAACACTTGAACATTCAGTAGCAGGTTTGTGGAGATAAGATGAAGAATGTGTAAGGAACACAAATAATGCTTTCAGTGGATTAACAACATCCTTTAATATGACGTGGTAGAAGCACGGGGAAAAGGATTCAGAGCATCAGCCTTAAAATGTATCACATTTACAGAAAAAAATGAATTGGCTTTGTGACCCTTGACATTTTTGAATTCCCGTCTTTGGCTTTTTCCTATTTTTATTTATTAATTATTATTTTTATTTTATTATTTTAATGTGAATTTTAATTGTTTAAACCTTTTCAGTTCCAGTTAATTTGTCTGTCAACAATACAAGGCAACCTGAAACGAAGACGTCCAATCAGAACACATTTATTGTTTAGCAGAGCATTCATTTGGACCAATGATATTTCACTGTGGGCGTTGCTTCCCAGCGCACCGCCATAGATATTGAAAGTAACAATCAGTAACAAATCATTCAAATTATTATTCAAATGACTGATTAAAAATGCTAACAGACTTGTCATGAAGTCTAATTTCTACATGACGAGGAGCGGGACCACAGTTACATCCAAATGGTAATTAACTAAAGCCAAACACCATCAAACTGTAGCTTTGAACTGTTTAAATCATCTGAATAGACCATTTTGGTGTGCCAGTCACTGCAAGTCACACAGCCTCTTCACCCCCAAATTTGCTGCGTTATTTTATGTTGCTTTTAAAAACATTCATTGCGAAACATTGTGTTGATAAATAGGTTTATTGTGCATTTCCAACATTTTCTGCTGTGTTCAGCACATTATGCGCAGCAAAAATAGGCAGGCTACCACAGAGAAGCACGAGCTGCTTATTTTCGCGGGCAATGTGAATGATGTTGTTATTATGGGCGCCAAAATATCAGGCATTATTTATCCATTTGTACATACTAGTCAAATTTTCAATAAAAATGTAATGCTACTTTTTGAGTAGCCCTTGCTATAACCTGGTCAATGAATTGAGCTTCATTGTTGTGAAGCCAAAAGAAAGACATTTTTAGACTGAAGTGAAAGTTAATTGGCTCAGGCTGTTCTTACAAAGTTTCAAAACAGCTGGTTGTCTCTTACCATTTGGACTTGTTCTTTGAAGATTCAGCGCTACTGTGTATAGTTTTGCTATTAGTGTGACTTGGCTAAAAATGAATTATAGATCACAAGTTCAGTGGCCACCAAAGCACTATGCTATTTAGGGTTTCATCAGCGTATATATCTAAAAAAGACCAGCCAATAAAACAAGGCTCTCTGATCACAGCCAGCTCAGCATCATTAGAGCTTCACAGAGTCTGATGAGCCACAATGATTTCCTTCATAACCGCAGCCTGAGGGAATTCTGTCATTCTTACAAAGAGAATGATAAAACAATCTCCCATTGACGCCACTGCACTCCAACATCCACACTCAGAATAGATTTAACACCTCCCTCTGGAACACACTGAATGGAGGAAAACTTAACGTGAGGAGAGAAGTAAAACTGTAAAAAATGTGACTCAAGAATGATGGAAAGGTACTTTTTGCCATTTTATGCACTTGTAAATTGAACAAGCACGTTAAGAACTTGGCAAAAAGAGGATAGTTGACAAGTGGGAAATAGTTTCTTGACGAAAAAACGTAAAAGTTGGCTGAATGTCAATGTTGGTAATTTTTCTGTTTAGTTTTAAAC